GCAGCCCTGACAGTGTGGGTGCACCCATTTTTATTATGGCTGGGGTTTTCAGGGTATCTTCAACCCTAGCTGCTGTAGGTGTCCGTATAGCAAAGTGTTGCTAAGGACAACCTGTCCGTGTCCCTCCAGCAGGCTCCCAACCACAGGCAATCTTAGCAGACAGTTTAGCTTGTAAGTGAGATCAGCTATTTGGTGAATTCAGCTCTTTAGTGATTGAAGCTCTTTGCTTACTAAGTACCTCGGCAGATGCAGAGAGAGAGAGAAGTAGTGCAGTATGAGGTTCCACAGAGGTGTCTTTATTGGCAGCTTCTGCAAAGGGTCACAGTGACAGCTCTTCTGCTGGACAGCACAGAAACAGGGTTTATATAGGGTTTAGGGGTTTTGGGGAACAGTCCAATAGTAAGGGTCGAGGTGAGTATGACCTGTCGTCTTACAGAGGGATAACAAGGGACCAAAGGGGGAAAAGGGGCTTCTTTAGTGCAGTCATAATGATTAGGCATTTCTTATCTCAAGCAACTGACCGCCAGGGAGGCCTTGAAGGCCCTGTGACTCCTACACACCCATGGGCGCATTTGCCTGTTCTCTCCACTTCCACCACATGCCAAGTCAGCCCTGCTCTTGAAAAAGTTCTCTGTCCCACACTGAGCTCCTGGTGCCTTTGCAAAAAGCCACTCCCTTTGGCTTGTGGGAAAGCTGCAAGCTCAGATTCCTCCATGGATGTGGGTTTGAACTCGCTGGCATGCCCATTTTGGATATGTGCTGCATCGCATACTGCAATTTTTCAGTCATTTGCTGCACTCTCATTTCTGGCCTGCAGGTGCTGCGTAAATTGGTTTTCCTCAGCTAACTGAGTCTTTTCTTTTCTGGGCCACATAGCTCACTGAACTGCAAACTCCATGTCTCCTGTGGCCTCTTGCAAGCTCCGAATGGGGCAAACGATCCAAAGTGCAGGTTCTGTGGAATTCTCCTCCGTCATTTTGTTCCAGACCTCCGCATGACATGCCTCAGGTGCCAGCCTCACGGGTAACAGGAGAGGGCCGCAGGTCAAGAGCAGGAGCTCATCCAAGGGCTAAAGGAAGCAGAGGAATTTGCAAGGCAGGTGAGTGCTGGAGATGCTGGAGGCCTGCCAAGCTGCCTGCTCTTGTCTTGCTGCTGAAACCCTGAACTTCAGTGCTCTTGAGAACAACACTCAGGCCTAAATCCCACTGGAATCCGCATTTCTTAGGGGGATTGGTATTTGCTGAGGAATGGCTTACACTGCTCATCCTCTTGGCAGTTAACCTGGGCCATGTCTTAGAAAGGAGGAAGCTAAGTGAGTCTGTGGACTTTCCTGGAAGGAACAAAGCCCTGTGACAGCAAGCAGCATTCTCAGGCTGCTCTCAGGGGAAAATCCCCACAAGCTGAAGACACCTGGAGAAAGGGGTGGATACAATTCTGAGCTATGCCGGCCTGCAATAGCAAGGTCCTGGACATGAAGGTGAGTGGCACAGAGTGTCCCTGTGTGCGCTTTCTGCACCTTTCTGGGAATCAGAAGGAATCCTGCCTCTGCCTGTGAGGAATTCAGCCTGGGAATTAATAGTTCCTTTCTGGTTTGGCTTTTGTCTTTTTTTCTTTTGTAACATCAGCTGAGCCTGCCCCCAGCCTGGCTGATGGGACCCTGTCAGCTCAGGAGGTGCAGGGAGCCTGGAGAGGAGGCGCCGGTGCTTGAGGAGGCTTTGTGCCCTTCCAGCTCATTGCAGGACTAGCAATCAAAACACCTAGCTCCTGCCCTGCATGGGAGCATTCCCTTCCTGGTCAGCCTGCGCCTAAGCTGTCCATTGCCCCGGCGCTGTGCATTGCCCCGGCGCTGTGCCCTGCGGACGGACAGTCCCGTTGGTGGCTCCGCAGCTGCCCGAGGCTCTCCCCGCCTCAGAGCGGGGCCCCGCCCCGCCGCGGGCGCTCCCTGGCGGCTGCCCCGCCCCGCAGCTTTCTGTTGCTTTGCTTTGAGGAAACAGCAGTGTTTTGTGAATGGTGGGCAGAAAATGGTATGCATGGCTCTGAGGACTCTTTTGTAAGCAGTGCATGTTTGAAACTATTCCCTGCTTTCTCGCCTAGAGGAAATTAGGGTCACCCAGCAACATTTTAAAGCTTTGGGATTATGACACCAGTAAGGTGCAAATGTGGGGTCTGTAGACCCAAAGGCATTCCTCATCTAATCAGGCATTTCTTGAGAATTGTCCTGACTTTCAGTCTGACAGGCAGAGGGAATTTGCATCTGGACAATATGCAGCCTCCCAGATGTCAGATGTGGCATCTGACCAGCTGCTCTCTCCACTACACTTGCTGGGCTCATGCCAGTGGTGGTCCTGGGGCTGGGAAACACCTGGACTTGTGTAGAGCCCTTCCAAAATGCTACCATGGCTGCCAAAAGCAGGCAAAGAAGAAAAGCCCAGATCTTTCTCCATTCTTTGTCATTTTTAACTGAGAAAGAAAATCACAGGTGGTTTAGGCAGGCACTTGCTGTTAACGCTCAAGAAAGTATTCTTGGGAGAGAGAAAAACCTGGTCACAAGGGCAGAGGAGAGGAGGGGGAAGGAAGCTTCCGAACTTCAGAAGGCTTGTGGTTGCTCTGTTTTCTTGAGCCTGCCTTCCTAAGGTTTGCCCACCAGCTGAGCGATTTGGTCTCGGCCTCATAACTCCCTTTTGGGTGGGACTTGCCCATTGTGGCACACTGGTTTCCTCCTCCCACCAGCTTCTACACTGTGCCACGCTGGGATTTAAGGTTCTTTTCCCTCTTTCCAGCTTTGGATGGTTCAGTGCAAAGCTTTGGTGCAGTCCAGAGCTGCAAGTTTCTGAGCAGGCAGCCCTTGCCCTTTGTGGCTGAAGATGCTATGGGCTGGAATCCTGCCATGGCCTCGCTCTTCACTCCAGCCAATGGCATCTGAAAATTCACATGCAGTCATCATTTCCTGGCACTCTCACAGGGACTGTGAACTTCCCTTGGTGTCAGATAAGCGGTAGCATGCTGTCCTTTAGTGCTCCTGGTGTGAAAGTCAGCCCCTTGGTGCACAGAGTCTGTGCAGGCTCCCTGCTGTCAGCAGACAGAGCCGTCCCAAGGCGCAGCTCACAGCCTTGTGGGGTGCAGAGGAGCCACTGCTGCCTGCAGGGACCTAGCCCTCTCCACGCCCTATCTAGGCAGCTACAGTCACTGCTTCGACTACCCCCTTAACTTTGACATGACCCAAGTTGGCTGAGAAGTCTCCTGAGCAGCTCTGCGTGGCAGAGACAAGGTCTGTCTGTCAAGGGCTGGAATGCACTTCCTATTGGCTGCTCTCTAAGGGCTGAAATCCTGAGGGTAGGCCAGTTGACCAGAGCTGAGCAGGGAAATGTTCCCTGCTTCTGCTCAGACACTTCCAGAGCAGCTCGAGGGTTACTTGGTGTGGGATCTCAGCACATCACTGTGGATGTGCAGACACCAGGGGAGCCCTTGAGGGGCTCGGAAACCCTGGAATGTTGCCAAAAGGGTTTGGTGGCTGGATTGGCCGCCCTGTGGGCGGGAGGGAGTGCACTTGACTGTCCTGCTGAGTGGATCTCGGCTGGGCAGAGAGAAAAATTTTGTAGATAAGAGTTAATAAACAGAACTGAAGACCGAAAATCTAAGAGTCCAGACTCGTCCTTCGAAATCGCGGCCGCCCAGAACCACCTTTCCCCGTGTCGGGGCAGAGACACATAACAGCGGACCCTGACACCTGGCGTCCCTGGGTGGGCTCCCGGAGTGGGCCCCCAGAGTGGGCACCCTGAGCGGGTGGCGAAGCGGGCTCTGACAAAGGTGAGCTCCGAAGAGCGAGCGAGAAGCAGCGAGCTGCAAAAGAACACCCGAGTGGGCAGTTCCCGGAGCTGGACTCATTCCCAGGAGAGCGCTGATAACCCCTTGGGAAAGCTGCCATAAGGGCGGAAGAAGCGGCAGTCAGGAGAACATCGCACTTCGCTTCTGCCGAAGAAAACTCATATCAGGACAGCCCGGAGCGGAATCGGAAAGGCGCCTCTGAATCCATCTCCTGCAATCTGCTGGATGGAGACCAGGAGCCTTTGGATTGCTCTGATGACAAAAATTCGTTGAGAAGGTCAAAACTAAGAACATGGGGAAGACATACTCACGAGAACAGTTAGAAATTTTGTCAGCCTTACAAGGCATGGCACGGGCGTACGCAGAGGGGGTTTCCAAGAGGGAGCTCAAAGAATTATTATTATGGGTGAGACTTAATTATCCATCTGCAGAGACACACGTGTTGTTCGAACGGGGTTTTTGGCAAGAAGTTAATAGGCACATATATTATTTGGCATCAAGAAAAGATGAGACGGCTATAAAGTTGCTGTCTCCAGCAAGAGTCATATTAGAAGCTGTCTCTAATGATGCTTGGACACTAGCCAGACAGTTGCCTGAGAACTCCCACAAGGGCAGAGGGGGGAAGATGAGGTTCAAAGCAGAACTTGGCTCTGGTCCCAATCAGCCCGAGGGAGACAGCTCCCGAGGAAGGGGGGCAGGCAGAAACATCACTGCTTCCAACCTCATCATCCTGAAAGTCCAAAAGACCTCCAAAATGCCCTGATACCCCAGAAACTGAGGGGGATTTGGGTTCTGATTCCGACACAAATACAGCTCCACTCCCAGAGGAAGTAAGTGGTCCCAATCAGCCCGAGGGAGACAGCTCCCGAGGAAGGGGGGCAGGCAGAAACATCACTGCTTCCAACCTCATCATCCTGAAAGTCCAAAAGACCTCCAAAATGCCCTGATACCCCAGAAACTGAGGGGGATTTGGGTTCTGATTCCGACACAAATACAGCTCCACTCCCAGAGGAAGTAAGGTTTTCTCCCTGCGAAACTGATGGGGCGGGACACTCAGAGGGGGTGGTCTCTTCCGATCCATGGGACCCTGAAGGGGATGGGGCGGGAAAAGCGGCTGAATCGGAAGGGGGGGTCGAAGGGGGATTGGAAGGAGATTGGGAAAACCTCTCTCGCAGCAAGCGCGGCAACACAGACTTGGCCGGGGATAGCGGAGAGGGCATGGGAGCAGTGCGGGACATGAAAAAGCGCACGAGTTTTGCGAGCACAGCACCGGTGGCGGCAGCGGCCTCAGCTGGCGCCGTGCCAAAGACGCGCGTGAGGGGCGAGATGCGCGGGACGTCTGGGAAAGGCGCATGAAGTGGGGCGTCCACGTCCGACACGGGCAGTAAGCTAGGAGCAACCACGGAGCTCCAGGCAGCACCCGTAGGCAGGCGTAGGAGGCGCACGATGGCGCAGGACCCGGAAGTCGAGTCGCGGCGATCCACTCGAATTGCGGAGCGAGAAAGGGCACAGGCGGGGCGAGGGCTGCACACATGGTTGGAGGGTGTGAATACAGCATCAGAGGAGGAGGAGAAAGAGTCGGGAAGAGACATCAGGGGGGAGACATCAGGCGTAGAGCGGGAAAGAGGCAGTGATGTCAGCTCAGAGGAGACGGGAAGCATTCCAGAAAGCACGCACGTGCGGAAGTCGTGGGCAAGACGCGGTCGGGAACATACCCAGACCCCTGTGACATCCCGAGCGAGGAGGGGGCGTTCTCGGAGTTCCACATCCCGAGGCTCCACCCTTTCTCCAGCCTCAGGGAGACATTCATGTATTCAATCTTCATTGCTAGTTCAGTCGAAGCTCACGCAGTCGCAGTCCCAACCTTCAAAACTGCTGCACACAGTCGGCACGGCTGAGGAGCCGATCGAGTTCGTGACGTCATCACGGCAGTCCAAGCAGGTGACAGTGCCACCTCATGGCAGGAGGGCTGAAATGCAGGACATGCCAGAACAGGTCGGCAAAGCCACAGCACCAGCTCGTGGTGAAACTGCAACAATGCAGCGGTTTTTTCCAGCAATATATAAAAGGAAAATCACATCAGAAGAGACAAGGACAACAAGACAAGAGAATTATCCACAGACATGGGGATTTGAAGATTCATCACAGAAGAGACAGTCAGAAGAAGAAGAAGAAAAAGGAGACGTGATAAAGATCACAGAAGGGGTTCCGGCATGGATGTTTTCAGCAGCAGAAGCAAGAATGGGATATACTCTGTCATATGAGATGATGAAAAGGAAGCAATCACAAGAATTCCAAATTCCATATTCAAAGTTAGGAGCGAGGCCGAAGACATCAAGTCAGAGAATGTATGGCAGAGAATCATTGAGGACTTCGAAGATTCCATTGTACAAGCAATTGCCACAAGAATCTCTAGAAGAGGGAGAAGAAGAGCAACCAATAGAGACGACGGATTGGGATCACATCAGAGAAATGCTGTACAAGGGGAAGATCTTGCCACCAGGATCAGGAGATCTGACAATGCCAGTGACGTATGATGCACAGGGTCAAAATCCAAGGTGGGAGAGATTGAATCATGATATAGTCAAAGACTTAGTAAAAGCAGCTCAGAACAACGGACTGGGTTCACCATATTTCAAACAACTTTTGAGAGGAGAATGGGAAGGGCAGTTGAAGGAACACTAAGGGAAACACTTGGAAGATAAGATAAGATAAGGGAGGAAATGAACAGAGAACTTCGAAAGCGAGATGAGTTGATAGACAAAGTCCTTGTCGCCACGCAGAAGAAGAACAGTCCATCAGGAGGGCAGTGTTACAAGTGCGGAGCATTTGGGCACATCAGGAAGAATTGTCCACAAGCACAGACACAGACAACAGTGCAGGCACCAAAACCACAGAAGCCGATTTGTGCACGATGCGGAAGAGGCAGGCACTCTGTGAAAGAATGTTACTCTCAGACGGATGTGGAAGGAAATCCTTTGCCACTTCCGGGAAACGGAAGAAGGAGCGCGCAGATAGATTGCCAGCATGCAACGACACAAGTGATGGCGATGGCACAAGAGCAGACAAAACAACCATCGGGGAACAGCATGCAGATACCATCAGCAAGGTCCTCAGCAGAATTCCCAGCGACCCAGACATCCTTCGACCAGGAGCACAGAACTGTTGTCTCGGCAGACAAGAACACAGAACTAACAGTTTTGGCAAAGGCTCTTCGTCCACCATTGATTGTGGCAGAAAATACTCAAATTGTGAGAGCTTTCGCATTGCCACCACATGCCATGGAGCAGGTCATGTCAATTTTTGATGAAGAAGGATATCCTTTGAAGGAGCACGTTGAAGTACATATTACATGGATCAAACACATAGGCCGAGATCGACCAACACTGACATGCCAATTGACATGCGGGGACAGAACAATAGCAGTCAGAGGAATGTTAGACACAGGAGCAGATGTTACGGTGATATCGTACATTTTTTGGCCACGTGACTGGAACTTGATTGTACCATTGGGATCTCTCTCAGGTATAGGGAGAGCTTCTCTGTGTTTGCAGAGTGAGAATTCCATCGTTGTTACAGGACCAGGAAACAAGACGGCAATCATTCGTCCTTTTATTGTGGAGAAGCCCATCACGGTCTGGGGAAGGTATCTTTTGGCTCAATGGGGGACGAAGATCGAGATGGATTTTTAGTCGGGGTCACTGCAGCACTCGCCACGCTGAAATTGACTTGGAAGACAGATGATCCAGTTTGGGTGGATCAGTGGCCCCTTGAGCGAGAGAAATTGAGTGCGTTGAAAAACCTGGTTCAGATTCAACTGGAAAAAGGACACATCAAGCCAACAAACAGTCCTAACCCTTGACATTCCTGGTGCCTGAGGATTGTGGAGAAAGCTGTGGGCTTGGCCTGCTGCAGTAGAGAGTGCCAGCCTGGTAGGCCAAAAGAAAGTCCATGTCAATGTCTGCATGAACACTACCAGAAGGATTACCAGGAGCAGAGAGACGAGCACTCAAAGGAGGAGATCCAGACTGTGAAAAACAACTCAGAAGAGCTTGAACAATAAAGACAAATATTTTGGGGGAGTTTTAGGATTTGGAGTGAAAAGATGGTAATGTTTGTCCACAAGGGAGAGATCGTGTGCTTCACGATGTTCATGTGCTTGATTCCATTGTTGATCGCTGTGAAAAACAGGGCAAATTTACCCATTGATCAGCCGGAGAGAAATGTTTGGGAAGTTTTAGCCCAGGCAGAAAATTTAGACAGCATCTGCCTGACACATTCCAGACCAGGAAAGCAATTCTCGGCATGCATGATTGGGTTGCCAGTGAGCGAATGGCTGGTTCCAGGACACAATGCCATTGGGATTTTGCAGATTACAAAGTATCCATCATTTGGAAAGCTCAAGAATGTTCATGTTTCAGTAGATACATTTTCAGGAGCAGTCTTTGCTTCGGCACATGCAGGGGAAACATCAGATCATGCTTGTCGACATTTTTTGCAAGCATTCGCGTCATTGGGCGTGCCTCAAGAAATAAAAACAGATAATGGTCCAACATATACAGGCAGAGTGCTTGACAAATTCCTAAAAAGATGGGGTGTCAGACATACATTCGGTATTCCATATTCACCCACAGGTCAGGCGATCATTGAAAGGACACATCATACATTAAAATCTTTGCTAGATAGGCAGAAAAGAGGGGAACCAGAGGCGACGCCACACATGAAATTGAACAAAGCATTGTATGTGTTGAATTTTCTAAATAGTTCATCTTCAGAACCCAATCCACCAATCTTGAGACATTTCTCAAACAGTTCACAGGCAAAGCTAAGGGAGAATCCTTTAGTTTTGATCAGAAACCCAGAGTCAGGACAAATAGAAGGTCCCTTCAAACTAATCACTTGGGGCAAGGGTTTCGCTTGTGTTTCCACAGGGCAAGGTCCAAAGTGGGTGTCGGCGCGGCACGTGAAACCATTCCGGATGCAAGGACCAGAGAACACAGATTCCAGGAGCAGAGAGACGAGCACTCAAAGGAGGAGATCCAGACTGTGAAAAACAACTCAGAAGAGCTTGAACAATAAAGACAAATATTTTGGGGGAGTTTTAGGATTTGGAGTGAAAAGATGGTAATGTTTGTCCACAAGGGAGAGATCGTGTGCTTCACGATGTTCATGTGCTTGATTCCATTGTTGATCGCTGTGAAAAACAGGGCAAATTTACCCATTGATCAGCCGGAGAGAAATGTTTGGGAAGTTTTAGCCCAGGCAGCAAATTTAGACAGCATCTGCCTGACACATTCCAGACCAGGAAAGCCATTCTCGGCATGCATGATTGGGTTGCCAGTGAGCGAATGGCTGGTTCCAGGACACAATGCCATTGGGATTTTGCAGATTGTTAAAGATCCTGTGAATGAGTGGTATGCCTGGAAACATCTTTTACCTGTGGCTTCTACTGAACCTCAGGAATTGAAAATTTTCGGATCCATGACAATGGACATGTGCATGCAATTTGTGATTCCAGGGAAGACAAACAATACCACTGATGTCACACCAAATCAGAGGTTTTACAGAAATGCATCAGCTTGGTGCAAAAACACTACAACAACAACCAGGGGATCACTCCAGGTTCCGGTGCGTCTGCCGAGGGGTTTCTTTTTGATTTGCGGAGACAGAATTTGGCACGGCATTCCTTCAAATGCCAAGGGAGGTCCATGCAACATTGGAAAGATTTTGATGTTATCACCAGATTCAAAATGGCAGAGAGAGCAAGAGCAGAGAGAGAAAAGATCATTGAAACATTATGATGAGAATTGTGATGATGAAGTGTACACTTGGGACAAGGCAAGGAGAATTGCGACAGCAATTTTCTCACCTCAGACAGAGTTGGAGGTGGCCTTGACTCAACTGGACCACAATGGGTTGTTGGTTGAGCAAACATGCTAGGTCAGTCTCTCTTGCACTGAGTGACATGTTGCAAGACATGGACATTGTGAGAAGGGCAACTCTGCAGAACAGAGCGGGAATTGATTATCTGTTGCTAGCTCATGGACATGGATGTCAAGAATTCGAGGGAATGTGCTACATGAATCTTTCCGATCATTAAAGTCGATTCATGAGAATATACAAAAAATTGAAGATAGTATAAAGAAACTCGTTGAAATCACGGGATCTTGGATTGACGATGTGGTGAAGTTTTTTGACCTTTCTCTTTAAGGAGAGAGTTTTTGAAGATAGGGTTTCAGATTTTGATAGTTCTCATTGTTCTCTTGATTGTAGTGCCATGAATGTTTCTATATATCTGGCAAATCATGGGTCGAGTCACAAAGAAGGTGCTTTTGGTGCAAACAGAAGGGGGAGGA